GGCACGATGTGAATTTCCCGCTGCTTGCAAGCTTTCTGGCGACGTTTGGCTTCGATCGGCCGTACAAGATGGAAATGGAGGCCCCACTTCCATGGTCACAGGGATGCACAGAAAATAAGATAGAAATTGACGTGACTTGAACCACCAGCTCTTTCAACCATTCACCAGCCAGCTAGCCATTAATTTTGTGATGAAACCAATTGCTGGGCAGACGGCGCTTGCCTGTGTGTCGAAGCGGCACAACTTGAATCCTCTCTTCCGTGAGGACTTTGAGCATGAGGCTTTCTGGGATTGGTCAGCTGTCAATATTAAAATAAATACTCCAAAAAAACATCATATCATGTTTATATTGTCCTTTCTTGGGCGCCTATAATTTGAGTGCTCAATGTTTGTTCTGGCCATTAATTCGTTATCTTGGCAGGCATGGTCGGCAAAAGAAGGATGTCTCCATAGGGGACTGGCTGGCTATGTGATCAAAAGGTTTAAGAGAACTTCTGCCTCCAGGCCAGGGTTATATACTAGATCGATCTATAATTATACATCTCAGCATGTACTATGTTACAAATATAGCATATATCATACGCATATTATATAGTTTGGGGATGTTTGGGGATGTGTTAACCTGGATTCAAGCCTTGCGCATAGCCCCACTTTGGAGGCCCAGTCACGAGAACATGGCTACGCTGAAAGCCATTCTTAAGGCCAAGCTCCAGGCTCATCCAATCCTGCCAAAGTCACTTGAGTTGGACATAACTGGATCCCAAAAAAAAACATGCCTGTGTTTCGACCATTGGCCATGTGTTCGTTGTGGTCAGGAAGCTGGTCATGAGAACGGAAGAAGGACCAGGAAATCCAGTTCACAGGACCATCACGGATATAGCCCTTGCTGAGTTGAACCATAACCAAACCAATACTGTGTATCTTGTTTTCTTATGACGCCCGTGTCAGTCTTCCAAAACTTTAGCAGGACAGCTTGGCATCTTCAGGGGAATCGAGGGCACCAAGTGACGTCACCGAAGTGGAGGTTTACGGCCATGAGAGCGCTTCAGAGGTTGAGGGAGAGGAGGGTACACGTGAGGGAGGAGAGGAAGAGTGCTTGGACGATGATCCAGTGGTAGAAATAGACAACAGAGAATGTGGGGAACGTGAGTCGTTGGAAGAAATGTTGGATACAGTGAACAAAAAATATGGGTGGGAGACAGACATGTCTCCTGATCATGAAGAACAGGAAGAGCAACCCAAACCCCCACATGTGCCACAGTCTTTTCACCCCGATGAAATCGAAACTCTGCCGTTGGACTTTGAGACACTTGAGTATACTGTAGACTCTCAGTGGAAGCTAGAGAGGATGAGAGAGGAGGAAGCACTGCAAAGGGAACAGGCTGAGGCTTCAGGAGCAAAGGGATCAACAGGTAAAGACGCAGTAGGTGAAGAGATTGAAAGCGAAGATGATGACAAGAAGACATGCAACAAGGACTCTCCAACCTTCAAATTTAGTTTTTATTATGACGATCATGTTGTTTTTTCCTCAGGTTTCCGGTAAAAGAATCCAGCGGGTTTCTGATTTGCCAGGACTCAAAACCTTTGAGTGGGGCCGATGGAAGCTGAGCTCGAGAAGCAGGTTGACAGTCTTTGTGAGACACTTCTCAAGGAACCAGGATCAACCAATGAAGATCTCATGAAGGCACACGCTACACACGACTAAAAGCATGTCAAATCAAAATTTTCAACATGAACAAGCATGTACTGACAATCTTGCGCGCTCTTAATTTTTTGCTCTGCTCTTGTGCAGGCCCAAAGGCTTGCTCGGAAGAGTCTCAAGCCGAGTCAGGGGGCTGACAACCAGGAAATTGACGCAAATGAAGATCCAGACCGGGAATTCAGGGATGGACAGAGTGAAGAGGACAAGGCTGCAGACGACAAACCTAGCAAGAAGGGAAAGGCAAAAGGCAAAGGGCGGGGCAAAGGCCGAGGTAGAGGTCGTGGAAAAGGAAAAAAAAGGAAAAGGAAAGCCAGAGGCAAACAAAGGGAAGGAGCAGGAGGAACGCAACGATTCCCAGGACAATGCCAAAACTGAAGAGCAACACAAAGATAAAGAGGAACACAAAGATGAAGAGGAACACAAAGATGAAAACAAACCCAACAACACGGCAGCTCTTGAGACTGAGCACCTCCAGAGAAGCCAAAACGTAAGAGAAAAGAAAAGGAGACTGAAGCAGAGAAGAAAGTAGGAACCATGGAAACCAAGAGAGTCAAGGGATCTCCAACACCAGAGCAGCGATCTGCCGCATCAGCAGCAGCACCGGACGTGAGCAACAAAAGGAAACGAGATGCAAAAGACGATGGGAAAACCTTGCCTGATCGTGAGGCTTTATCGGGAGGGATGCATTAGAAAGTATGCGTGCCCATTTTTTATATCTCATCTCCATCGCCATACACCATTTGCAATTTTTGTAGATCAATCTTCAGTACTAGATTCCTCTCAGCATTGCATTTCCCTGCTGCATCAGGCACTCGCTTTGAAAATGATCCAGAAAGTGGCGGCCGATGATCAGTCCTTGATCATCCCAGAAGGGCTGACGGCGAAGTTACTTCCTTGGCTTGCATCCGGATTGCCAATGTCATCCAATGTCAAATCATCAAGCAACCGTAAATGAGGGGGAACAAAGTTACTTTCATCATATTTAATTCCAGGAATGCCCAAAAAAAGTAACACTGGCCCAGGTCTTTCACCGTTGTTTGCAACACAAGTGGTGCTGCTGAAGACCCATCTTCAATTGGAGTTTTGTTTGGCCCTCAGCTGGGTCAATCTGGTACTCTACGTAGTTTGATCCCATTTGGAAGCCCAACAAGTTTATGAAGTTCGGTAATTGAAAGATCGATATATAGATAACATAGATCAATAATCACAAATATATAGCACCTCCTCCCCTATCAGCACACTGCAGTGAATAATAGGTTGTGATCGAACATGTGGTTTGATGCGTATCGACTTCCACTCCCCGCCAGGCTGACGACTTCTGGGTTCTACGTTGCCAAGGCCAAGGTTGATGTGCTGAACAAGATCAACGCTGTTGAAGGTACCAATTTGAAGGCTTGGTGGCAACAAATGTTTTCAATCTGTCCCATCATGATTCAAAGCCCGTAAAGAAGAATTTTCATATACCATGTCTTTCACCCACATTGACTCCATCACTAGGTGAACAAAAAGAATCCTCCTGGAACATCGATCTACTGGGGGCCCAAAGGGGGGGTTCCAATGCGCCAGGGCCTCAAAATCAGCAAATCTCTTTGGTGCTTATTTATCTTGAACCTATTATTACTAGTAGGGTCCTATCCATTATCATATATACCCATTATATTATATCATATCATTATTTTATTCGTACTATATTATTTATGATGTTAATTATATTATTCAATGATCAAATTGCAAATACAATAGCTTTCCTTTCCCCACCACACTGTTATGCTGCCAAGTTGATCAAGCGATCAAACGCATATCCATTAATTCATCCGTTCCTAGGTGGCGACTGGCGAAGCTGGTGGCTGGGTGGGTCAAGATGGAGCCTGCCGATGTTGACTGAAGGTTGAATAGCGCCATTTGTTTTGATATGTGCCTCGCTGAGCACATTGGGGTTCGAAGTAGCTAAGCTGGCACTTGAAAACGTACTGTGATGCCCGGCAAATTACTTTGTTGGAATGGTGACATGATGCAATAAAAATCTAGCTGGCTTCTCTGGGGATTCGTGTCTGCCATATGCCCGAAGTGGTATATGCATTTGCCACTACTGGTGGATCTACGCCCGGTGCCTCAAGTTGACAAAAAAATCAGATCGTTGATTTCGAGACATCAAAATCTACATCCAACACAAATAAAGGAACATGACAGTTACGTGACAATTGTATTAATATTATATGCGTGATGTGTTCTGCAGGCTCAGCAGCATCTGGTGTGGGGAAACCCACTTTTCCAGGTGATTTTTTGAGGGATAGGGCAGGGGCGCACCATGGTTTCCAAGCCCACATGGGCAACCAGCCCACTTGCTCTCTCGAAATCGGCAGCCCTTTTGTTATTAAAGCTGGGTGCGCCCTTGCTTTTGCTGCTGGGATTAAAACCTTCTTGTGGAAGTGTCCCAATTTCTGATCAAACCATTTTTTTTTTGGGAAATGACAAGCTGTGGCCAAACTAAGGCTGCATTGTGCCGATTACTGTGCCCAAACAATGACAGCACAAAGAGTTTGGGGCCCAAGTGTCGTAGGGTTGGTTGGACCAATCAGGCATGAATTTCACACAATTACATGAGCTATATTATATATTATAATATTATATTATTGTGGTCTATTTTGATGCCGAAAAAAACATCCAACTTCTTTTGAAAATTCGATGATGAGGATCTTTGCATGGTGGACTACTTCAGTGGCAAGGGCGAAGCCCACCAAGCTTTCAGCCAGAAACTCAATTTTATCAACATTGATGGAGGCTGCTTCTGTTCATGGTTTGATTTGACAAATCTTATTGACAATATAATTCAAAAGTATATCATCATATACCCCACTGCAAGAGGACACTCCCACTATTCCTTTCACCCTAAATGCTGCCTAGGATCTGCTAATGTGAAGGCGTCGGGATCCCAGATTCGAATAGCTTCCTCAAGATGCTGCCAAAACTTGGCAGGGCATGTGTGAGAGAACCTGCAGTATATATATTACGAAACTATCTATATTATCGATCGGTATTCCTCTGGCCTTTTTCCATATTAATTTAAATAATATTGCACGATCCTAGGGCCCACTTCGAGTTACTCGACAACCCTGATGACAACATGTTGACAACGTGCTGCCCTCAGCATGATCCATGAATCCCTTGATAGACCCAATTCTTGAACGAAACACACGCACACACACACACAAAACTATGCTAGTCTTACCTTAGCTAATAGAGCGAAAAAACAACCCAAGGGTACCTGCTAGCTTGGTTCAATGCGTGCCTACTTAAGGCAAGGTTTTTTGCGAGCGGTGAGCTTGGCACTGCGGGTCAAGGAGGATGGGCTCCTCCTTGGAGGACCTCCTTGTGGGCCGTGGGTATTTGTTAATGCAGGTACTCACAAAAGGCGCCTGACCAATATTTGGGGGGACCTTGGCTCTCGCTATGTTCAGTCATCCAACACGTCCCTAGGTTAAAATAAGCAGCATGCACGTTTTTTGATCGATCCAGGTTTCATGTCAAGTGATCAAGCTTGATTTGAGGTTGACTGCGCGCTGGGCTCTCATCCTCTTGGTGGGTGCTGTGAGGTGCATAGCCTCATTCACAGAGCAACCAGGAGGCTCGTTGATGCGTCATTACCCGTACATCTTCCATCTTCGTCGGATGATTCGTGAAGTTCTTGGTGGCACTTGGGACTCCACCTTCTTGTCTAGGACTCAAGCCAATTTACTTGCAATGTGGCACTTGCTTGGAAAGAAGAGGAGTAATTTTCAAATTCAAAAAACGGATGATGATGATAATTTCTTTCTCAACTGAGTTACATGGGGTCCTTTGGACACAAAGCTTTGAAACCCAGTCGAGGACTGGGGTCTGCGTCGTGACCTCAATGTTTTTAATTTGTTTAGGGGGTTACCAGTATACTGACCATTCTGTGTGGCCCAGGCTGTGGGCGAAGTCTTTGCGGAAGCCAATTTCAAAGGCCAAAAGGGAGAAACTTCGGAAGTCTGGTGCTGGCATGGTGAAAAAGTACCAGAATGCAAAAGGGGAATGGAAGCTGTTCTAGGCTTAGATACACTTGGTATTGTTCAAACACTGCAGAGCTTCAAATCCAAAGCGAAGCTTAACCTTTTTTTTTACATGGGGCTGCCATTTGAACTCAGGGTGGGCACTCCATTCCTGAAGCAGAGCGCAGCCTACACGCCCAAGTTTGCCCGCACAGTGTGCAAACTACACCTCAAGTATATGGAGCCCTGCTTTTTTTTGCATGGCCAGATGGGTAGACGGGGGAATAATTCAATCCAACTTACAGCCTTTAATTTTGACTCAAGCCCATGTAGCGTCTACAACGGCAGGAGACACATAAGGGACATCTACGCCGTGAGATGTATGGGAAACCTGTGGAAGACCTACACAAGGCCGGTCTGGGCTTCTGTGTTAAAAAATCAGTCCATGTGAGCTCAGAGATGCATAAATAAACAAACCAGTTTCAAACAACACGGGCTCGTCTTTTGGCTATCAACTTTGGAGGCCAAGCAACCCTACAAGTGGAAGCATGCCAACTTGCAGGAGATTAGAAAGTTTCTTCTTTCGGAAGTTGAAGCTGGGCGATACTGTCCAGTACTAGACTTGTGATCAAGCCACGCAATGCCTTCAGAGATGTACCATAGAATTCATTAACTTACAACACAGTGGATTCTCACCACTGCGCTGAATGAACCCTGAGAGAGGCAAAGGAAAAATGAGAAAAAAAACTGGAACACACATGACCGTGGACAACCCGTGGACAAACCGTGGAACGACATCAAAAAGTCGTGGAACGACATCAAAAAGTCGTGGAACGACATCAAAAAGTCGTGGAACGACATCAAAAAGTCGTGGACAGGGGGAGGTCAAAATCCACCTAAATTCACCCCCCCCCCCCAAAAAAAAAAGCGAATCCACATTTGTTGATGTCTTTTCCTAGTGGCAAGTTGGAATGATTTGGAATGTGTTTTTTCAAACTCAGAATTGCCTAAGTTCAGAACATATTGAAGCCAAGTACCATTTGACATGTCGCAATGCATCAGCCAACACACCAAACCTACATTGATCTGTATGCAGCATTTGGGGGTGCTCGAGCCTTGCTACATCAGGGATTTGCGGTTTTGATATGTTTTGATGGCATCTATCATCTAGATTGATTTTTTAGATAGATATAGGGGCACCAGGCCTTACGGAGCACTGGGCCAAGATAACCCACAGAAAGGATAAATATGTCTTCATTTTATTGCTTCTTTCCCCTTTATTTTCCATGTCGGATCGTGCTGCACAGTTCTTGGCAAAGGCCAAGGCGCTGAAATTGCAAAGGGCACATGCACATGATGCGGCTAGAGCTGATGGGAAGACTCCAGGACTAGCACGGCCCATTACTTAGTTCATTCAAAACAGTGGTACTTGCATGCAAAAGTTCAAAATTAGAGATTTTCATGGTCCTTGAAAATATAGATTCAATCTATAACGATATCTATATCCTATCCTACATCCAGCCCACCTTGCCCTGCAGAGCAAGCGTCTACCAAAGCGCAGCCGTTGCCCAGGTCAGCCAGTACTTCTGTCCTGAGCGGAAATGTAGGACTGCTTCTTGCAGGGGTGATGGTGGCAAATGATATGGAACTCCAAATTAGAAACCATTCCCATTACATATATTATATGTATCAATATATTATAATATTAAATGCCATAGATCATAGATATTATGAGTTTAAAACCATTTTCCAAATAATGGTGCGTGTAATATAATAATAAGATCTATTAAATTATAGGCATAAACAATCGATTGGGTTCAACACCCATGCCACCATAGTAGCTTAATTCAGTACCACTGGCAATTGTTTGCCATTAATTTAATTGTGAAGGATTATATATTATAAGTCATGCAAAGTGTTTCACACACACACATGGACACACGTGTATACAGTGTTACAGGCCAAGTGCAAAAAGAATCACCAAGACATGCCATGCCATGCCATGCATGTGAATTGCATGAAATCATGAATGCCTTCATGGCAGGAGGTTCGAAAAAAGCTTCGGAGCCCCAGTCAGAGCCAGCTGCTGGTCAGACTAGACGAATGAACCGACACCTCAGCCAGTCCACCCAATTGGATCCTGAAGATCCTAATGAGGATGATGAGGAGGATGATGAGGAGGATGGTGCTTCCCAAGAAAACACAGCCCAAGCTGATGCCAAGAAACCGAAACCTCAGCCAAAGAGATCTGCAGCGAAAACAATGCCCAGGAAGAAACCATCTCGACATGTGATCAAACCAACAGGCTCTAGTGGTAGCAAAAGTGCAGCAGCAAAGAAACACGCGCAGAAGATCAAGACCAACAAGGAGCCAGAAAAAAAAGCACAGAAGACTCAGAAGACCAAGGAAAAAGAAAAGGAAGAAGGAGATAAGAAGGATCGACAAGACAAAGAAGCCTTGAAGGTTGCAGAGGCCAAGTCAGCGGCATGCAAGCCCAATCACCCACAAAAAAAACGTGACAAAGATGATGAATCGCAGTCAGAAGGTGAAACCCCAGCAGATGTGCAGAACGCTTTGCACAGAGCAGACACACAGGATATCACGAAAAAGGAACAGGTCCGACGAGCATACAAAACAAGAAAAGAAAGGTTCTACAGGTCCTTGAGAAGTGTTCACCTCAGTTGTCTTTTTTCCTTTGCTTTGCACATGTGGAGTTGCAAGATGTTGCAAGTAAGGTCATTTTATGATAAAACATATACTAAAATATGAGGATATTATATTTGCTAGTGGAACTTTCTTTGTGGCTAAGGTCCAAAAACCCCTGCCGAGATTCGTGATGAGTATGGTCGTAAGCGACACTGTCCTGACCCTACAAGCTATGCAGTCATTTTATGTGCAAAAAAGTCTGAAAGCATGCTCATGTCCTCTAATTTGGGGCATCTTGTTTGGTGAAAACACACAATGGTCGACCATCATCAAAATTAGGATTTTTGATGCCTTATAATTTAATATATTTTAATATATTACATTCCAAATATTATTGTTTCCTGAGGCCCGGAGACCATGGCGATTCTTTGGGAGGAGTGGTTGGGGTCCAATGAGAACTGGAAAAAGAGTCAGTATGCAATCAGGTTGAGCAAATCTCACAGCCATGAGAAGGTTGGGGCCCGACGATGGATGACATTCAAACAAATTATAGCCAAATACGACGATGTATCAATTGCCGAATCAATTTGGGAATCCAAGCGCAGTGACCCCAAGTTGAAATTTGACCACGTCAAGCCCCACCCGGATTGTCCGGACAACAGTGTCACTCGAATGCAGCTTAGGATCAGCTTAGGTGCTTGGAATCGAACACATTGATGCACTACCTTGGTAGCAGCAGCTTTGACATTGGCATCGCTGGTATCAAAGGATTGTATAAAGAGCTTATATGGACCCATTCATTTTTAAATTTAATAGTATGCCAGTACAGTCATATGTCATATGTATTATCACCCAATTCTTAATCTATAAGTGGTGTGATTGGAATGCCCTTTCGTCCAACCCAATCTGAGGCGATGGAATTGTACCTTGTCTGGGATTCAGAATCTGAAGTCACCAAGGATGGTACATTGCTAGAAACATGCATGCGAGTTGATGATGAATCTAGTGATGACTCAGCGCCCCGTGCCCGCAAAAGCAAAAAGAAAAAAAGAAAGCACTCGTCTTCGTCCAGCTCACGACAGGAGCTATTTTTTGCCAGGTGTTAATTTATTTCATTTAATGTCAATCAAGCTGCAACAGAACACAAGGCTCTTGTAGATGTTGTTCCTAATTCGGTTTCAATTGATTAAGATGTTTCTTCTTATCCAGGAGTCGTCATCGAAATCTGAAGAATCTGAGAAGTCAAAGAAATCGAAAGGCAAAGAAGATTCCGAAAAGGCCAAAACGAAGAAGAAACAGAAGAAGAGCAAGAGTAACAAGAAGAAGAAGAAAGCTAAGAAAGAAACAGCCGAAGCTAAACAGAAACGTGAAGCCAAGGAACTCGAAAGACAGAAAAAAAGAGAAGCAGACAAGGTAAAGCGCGAGGCAGAAACGAAGAAGAGAAAGGAGTACAATGAGAAGGTGTCAGCTGCAAAGAAGGTTCATCTACCATGTTTACTGTAAACTAAGATTGTCATCTCACAAGGGACTGCCCATGCCATCCCATCGCCATGCCAGGTTGCAAACAGCCTCACCAATAAGATTGGTGATGTACGCACTCGCGAGGATCGAGCCAACCAGTTGTCCATACCTTGGATGTGGCAGTCTGGCCATGGAGGAACATACGCTGGTTACTTTCCTGAACTTAGGTCGCCCGATTTGCGAGCCCCTCTGAAAAAGAGCTTGGATACCCAACGACGTGCACTCCAAGCTGCTAGGGACTCATTGCAGAGTGGGATCGACAATTTTGAGGCAGGGGTGAAATATAATTAATGTAAATATAGGTGGATCCATTAATTGTGCATTAGATTCTTGTCATATTGATCTCATATCAAGAAACGTCATTGTCCGCGTTGCCCGTGGTAGGAGAAGAAAACGAAAGTGTTGTTGGAGAAGGGAAATCAAGCACTGCAAGATTACAAGTCCTTCTTGGATAATCTTAAGGTATAGGCCCAGCTACAAGGTAGCAAGTTTTGGATCGAAGCAATGTGAAACTAGCCCCATGGTAGCTGGATGATGATGTAGGGTGCCCTTAGCCCAGTGCATATGCAAACTTATATTTTCCGAATTCCCATATTAGTGAATCAACACCAATTGTCTCATAGAAATGTTTTGCACGGGATGGGCGCCTGACTCCAGCGTGTTTTCCAAGCTCCCCAGTCTAGGTTGATTGGGATACCGGTTTAAACAAAGTTTGCCTGGCTAGAATCCCTCAAAACGATCGGCTGAGATATTTCATCAAATTTATATTAGCTACTGTTGCTTTAATGCCTTCGTTGAAGATACCCAACTTTGATTGGTGCAAAAAGTGTGGGGGTTGGCCTGGCCAGTCATGAGTGAACCCGTAAAGGGCGCCTGGAAGTTGCATGTGTGCAACGAGTGGTGAAAACAACGCGCAGCCACCCCAAAACCCTGGGTCACCATGTTTAGGGTTTCCTTCTATTGGGCTAAGTTAAGTGCCTATGCTTGGATTTCTCCCAAACCCTTAGCCCAAAGCAATGTCAGTAGATATTACTTCCCCCCTACTTCCATCAGCACCACGCAGGTCATACTCTACATCATCAAGGTGCAGAACCCTTCCTGAACCAGCTGATCGATGATGTCCAAAGTGGTGACACTTGTTTGGGCATATATGCCAACGATGCTGAATTTGGATACCCCAAAAAACTCAGCCGAGATTCACCAAGGATAGCAGCTTCACCAAAGCGATGAAACGGGCCAGAAAGCATGTGGAGGACCCATGGCTCTTCCACTTGCTTGCAATGGCGTTGTCTATTTACTTATGTGTTAGATTTATTTATAATATACCGAATCTCTAAATCCAAAGACCATCTATCTGTAGATCATTTTAGATCTAAATTGTCGAAATTCCAAAAAAATAAATCATCTAAGATCACATTGTTGATTCCATTTTGTCAGTTGACCATGTTCAGCAACCCCAAT